GGTGGGCGCTGTTGCCCGGGCGACGGCGCCGCCCCGCCCCGCCCCGGCCCCGCCCCTCCACGGCGTCTGCGCCCGGGTCTCCGCGCGGCCGCCCGCCCAGCCGCAGTACGCAGGAGCCGCCGCCGCAGCTGGCCGCGGGGCGGGATTCCGGGGCCGTCGCAGGGAGCGCAGCTCGGCTCTCCGCTCCTGTGCTTTCGCCCGCCCCGCTCCTCGTCGCGTCGGTCCGCTGGCCGGGTCCGGCTGACCAGCTCGCCTTCCGGCTCCGAACCCAGGCTCCCACGGCCGCCGCAGGGACCCGCCCACCAGACCCTGCCCTGGCCGTCCGTCTGCCTGTTTGGACCCTGCCGTTGATGACACCTGGCAGAAGGCTACCATGGAAGGGGATGGTTCCGACTCGCTGGTGAGTGGGCGACAGGGGCCTCTGCCTCACGTTTCCATGGCGGCTCCCCCCCCCCCCCCGGCTCTCTCTCTCCTCCTCCCTGAGCCGGAGGGAGCCTCTCCTCCCGAGAAGCGAGGGCGGACGTGTGGTGGCCCCGCTTCCTCTTCGCCTTCCGCGCCCCGGGTTCCGCAATCCGGGGCGCCCCCTTTCTGCCCCTCGGAGGGTTGGACCCCGGGTCACCTGGGCCCACGAGAGGGCGCCGATCGAGTGCGGCGATCGCCCACCTGAGCACCTTGGGGAGTCCGGGCGGGGCTCTTTCATGGGGTCCGGGCTGTAGAATTCATTCGCCTCGGGGAGTCGGGTGCCCGTCGCGGCTCGGGGCGCGCGTGCCCCGCGCGTGTCCGGCCGTCCCTTTGTGCCGGAGCGCTGTGGGGCCGGCGCTCGGGCCCCGCTCGGACCCCCGCGGGCGCGGCCCAGCCCGGGCGAGGCTCCTCCCCGGCTTCGCCAGCTCGCGCGCTGGAGGCGGGCTGGCGCTGGCAGCTGTCGGGGTACAAGTGTTTTTGTTTGAAAGGGTCTGATCTGCAGTTCTTTCCGACTTGTTAGTTTCCCGTCGAACCCCATTGATTTGGGACAGCTTAATTGTGGGAGCCGCCACTTCAACCTTTCTCTTAATTCAGGTTGTTACCCTCAGTGGCTCTAAAAGGAAAACTCATTTTTCTTTCGGGTAAGAATTCCTTTATATCTGCCGTGCTTAAAAAGCTTATGTCCTCCTTTTTATGTACCAGAAAGATGGAAATAATTTGAGATCTTCCGCTGGGAAGCAAACCTTCCAGCAAATGGGAATCTATCTTGGACCTTCAGAACAATATTTTTCTTTGGATCTATTTTGGACATTCGGAACAGTATTTTCCTTTGAATTAGGTGTCAAATTCTTTGTGAAATGAGATGGGATGTGAATATTCTATTTTCTTTGCCCTGAATTGTGAAGTGTGGCGATCTTCCAAATTTAATAAAATCCTGAGAGGATGTGGGCTTCTATGAAATATTTATTGAATGATGCAGCAAGAAACACATCAAAGACCATGGACAGTGATAAAGCCAGTTGGATGTAGTGCTTTTGTCAGGGGTTATTAAAGCACTTAGCGTCCCTGTAGGGGGAATAGAAGAGCATACATTTTTATTTAATTAAAACAGGTGAATTAATTCAGTTCTAATTTTCTGTGGAGCTCCAGTAATTGAAATGATTGTACAAGGTTAAGAGGACCGTAAAGCTACAAGAAGGCTGAATATAGATTCATAGCACCTGCAGTTTGGGGGGAAAAACTACATATGGAAAGGATGGGAAAATGAGTATGAGGTCATCAAACCTTTTTGGTTGTGATAAGAGACTGAATGTTTCTCATGGAAAATAATGCAAGCCTGTAGTACTGAGAGCGCTTACAATGGTGCTTTCTAGTCCTCTCCACCCTTTCAATATTCATCAAGTGCTTTTAAGATAACCACTTTGCTAGGCAGCAAGAGAACCTCAAGCATTTTAGCCACGTTACAGTTGCAGCATATGAAAATTGGTCACATTTTAATGTAGAAAATTGCTGATGATTCAGCTTGTAAATAGATTTCAAGGAGCCTTCCACGAACATGCTGGCTAACCCAGTTTTTGCCAGCCCTTTTCTGGCTGTAAGAGTTAGTGTGCTCAGGAGGAACACGGTCTCATTCTTAGTGTGATGTCTTTTATTGAAGTCATCTACTTTTAGGATTTCTCAGACGTCCTAAATCAGTGAATTCATGATGATTTGAATAATTTCATAATTGATGGAATATTACGGTCCCCTCATATCTTGTGCTGATTTTTCTCCGACTTCAGTGTTTTCCATGTCTTGTGTCCGTTCAGTTCTAGGCTGTGGGTGTTGGAGTGGGGGGCGATGGTACGGGAATTTCATTGCCAGAAAGGAATTTCAGATTATACACTGTTTCTTAATTCCTTTTGGCATGGTAAATTTACACACGTACTCATCCAAGAGGTATAAGCACATTAATATATTTACCCACTAACCATGAGAGACTATGGACTCTGAGAAACACACTGAGTGTTCTAGAGGGAGGGGGTGGGGGATGGGTTAGCCCGGTGATGGGTATTAAGGAGGGCACGTATTGAATGGAGCACCAGGTGTTACATGCAAATGATGAATCATGGAACACTACATCAAAAACTAATGATGTAATGTATGGTGATTAACATAACATAATAAAATAAAATTAAAAAAATATATTTACCCACTAACAGCTTTTGATTCTGATTTCTTTTCCTCAAGGTTACCATTAAGAATATCGAAAGAGAGCTCATTTGCCCAGCATGCAAGGAGCTGTTCACCCACCCGCTGATTCTCCCTTGTCAACACAGTATCTGTCATAAGTGTGTAAAAGAGCTCTTACTGACCCATGATGACTCATTCAATGACGTGGGATCGGACAACTCCAATCAGAGCAGTCCTCGACTTCGGCTCCCGTCCCCTAGCATGGACAAAATTGACAGAATTAGCAGACCAGGTATGTGACCGAAGCTCGGGGCCTGGGAGTTTCAGCGATAATCTGTGGAGGGGAAATATTTGTGCCCTTTTGCGGGTTGGTCTTTCTGGGTGAATAGATTAAAACTAGTTGTAAAGGCACCCTTCCCTCTTTTCAAATGTCAGAATGAACTGTTACACACTTAAAGTTGGATATTGAACACCAGCTTTGTGTCAGACCCCTTAATAACCGTCTTTGTCTTAGGGGGTGTTCTGACCCTGTGGGGTCCTTTATATGAGGGATGAAGTGATGGACCACGGAAGTACTTAACTAGGGAATCCTCTGTCTACGGTAGTATGTAAATAAATACGCCAAATTAAGGGACAAGACTCCATAATGACTCTTCCTCGAAGGTTTTTTTAGATGAATTATTTACTGTCATTTTGTCCTTCCTGAGGATTTTATCATCTTCAGCCATTTTAAAATCTTTTTTTGAAATCAGGATTTTGAATACCAGCCAACTAGGGGTAGAATTCTGTAGTAAGGATAGAGGGCGATCCAGATGTTACAGGCACATGTGCTGTATCTTTATTATACGGCCATTGGCTCCCACTGGATGGTGTTAGTTTCTCCCGGACATCCACTGCAGGAGTAAGGTAGAACAAAATCAATTTGAAATCCCAGGGAACAGGGCCACTGGGGATTTCAGGCCCAACATCAGCAGTGAGGACCAAGGGGAGGCAGAGGTTTGGGTAGAAATATCTCAATATCACGTTAGGCACACGCTTCGTTTGGAGGAGAGGACGTGAGTGGCTGTAAGCACCAGACTTCAGGCCTTCAGTTCTGCCCAATTTGGTCTTGAAGGTTTCACGTTTGGTCCTTTAGGCCACTCTGTTTATTTCTCCCCCTTGGAGCATTGGAATAATTTTTTAATCTTAAAAAACTTAGCCGAAGAGAATCTCCTTCCCCTCATTTGCATTTAGCGAACGCTGTCTTTTTTGGTCCGCCCTGTGATACGGAATCTCATCTTTGTGCTCCATCAGACAGTGGGTAAGAGTGGCTTTGATCTAAGAGCAGTATTACGCTATTTTAAAAACACGTATTTTTCTTTAAATGGTAATCACGAATTACTTGGAAGCTATTTTGCACATATAAAAAATTGTAAGACTATATTTTAAAAGGAGCATTAAGTGATTGGGGTTGCAGGGAGTAGTATGAGGTCAGAGAGGGTCATGCTTACTGTGAGCTCATCACTTGTATGTTTCCCTCCCTGCTAGGAACTAGCTGGCACCGGGGGGGCGGGGGCAGGGGGGGAGATAGGGTGAGGGGACAGATCTCAACAGCTTGAAATTACCTACCAGAGAAAACAGATTCTGTTGGTAGCTCCATCCTCATTGGCTAGTTAGGGACAGACCCCCTGATTGACGAAGGAAATTCACTTTTTGTGTATTAATATTTAGCACAGACCATTCAAAGGAATTTGTTACGTACTAGTATTTCTATAATTAGATTGTGCTTCTATACATATTATATGAAATCCTGTATCTTATGTGGGCTTCTAATCTTAACATTTGGTTGGTATGTGATTCATATGGAGTTTGAGTGAAATACAGATGAATATTCTTAAGAAATATAAATGATATATAATTAAAAATATATAATTTAGGAGCTCACCTAGATAGTACTTGGTGGATGTTTAATAAATATTTGTGGAGTGGTTGTTGAATGACAAACCTCTGCTAAAAGATTTCTACAAAGCATGCCATGATGGCTTTTATTCAATAATCGTGGCCTCCCCCCCCCCCCGCAGAACAAGCGATCCATTGCACCATACTTCACACCTTCTAGATCAGAAAAAGAATTACTGAGAAGTTCCTCCCTCCTCCCTGTCCTTTAGGAAGAACCCTGTCAAGTTGGATCATGTCCTGAGAGGGCGGGGAGTTAGAAAACGTGGAAAGGGCAGTTAGGGGAAATAAAAAAGAGTATTTAACTTGGAGAGGGAGAGACTGCAGAACATGATGGCCTGTCTTGCGAAAGAGAAGGTAAACTGGGAATCTTCACAGCAGAGGCTCCAGATCAGTGAGTGAACTAGGAATGCAGATTTCAGGCTCAGCGGGAAAGAAAACCGACAGGACAGGCTTTCCAAAGATGAGACTGTCATCTCCCTGTCTGTGGAAGTGTTCAAACATGGGGTCACATTGAGATGCTGCAGGGACCAGATACATTAGGGAAGCAGGTCCCAGGCATAATAAATACAGGAACCTCTTTGCTTTTACTTCTTTGATATAGAGACAGTAAAGAGTTCATTTTCCCATCACCTCAGCTGCCGTAAGGAAACCAGCAGCCTAGGTATCAGCGGCTGGCTGACTCCAGGCCTCGCCTGTTAAGAGACAGCGGTGCACGGTTCTGTAGACTAGACTGGATGCCTTGTCTGAGGAGGCCACAGCCCTGGGCACTTGGCACGTGTGCATTATCATATGGGTTTTGGGGGTGCCAGATTGTCAGATTTACTGCCCCCCCAACAAAAACCTGATAGTGGTTTTGATGTGTCATCTGTCTTTTAAACATTGGCAGTTAATTCAAATCATTTAAAAAACTCCATGCCAGCTCAGCATAGGATAGGGTAGCCAAAACACATCTTTGACTATGACCCATCCAGCATTTGGGCCATCAGTATTTGAAGTCTTTGTTTTAAGCAATGGATGAGGGACCACCATTTGCAGACATTGTAGAGGGGATTTCTGCCTCGGGTGGTAGGTCGAGTCAGTTGTATGTCAACTGCTTTATCTTCTCCAACACTGAAGTTTAATACCTTGCATTCATTTGCATTCATTCAGTCAACAAATATTTCATTTACCTGCTGGTTGTCGGACATGGCTAAATGCTTGAAGAGAGGTGAACAAGATAGATCCGTCCCTCCTTTTTAAGAAGCATATAGACTGCACTGTACAGAGCTTCATAGTTAGAACCCAGTCATTCATTAAGAAGAGCATACAGAGCAAGTTTAACAAATACAAGTAAAGCCCTCAGAGTGGGAAGGCCCCAAGTGTAGTAATCATTCCTGGAGGCTTTTATCAAATGAATGTGGGTTTTAGGATTGCCCTCCTCCTCATGATGGGAGTTTTAACTTAGTAGAGGTGATTATATTACAAATATAATGCCACCCTCCATTTATGAGGCATTTGCCTCTGATTTTTCTTTGGCGAGATTCAAAGAGAAATTCATAGGGAAGTAACGTTTCCTCCCCCCCCCCCCCCCTTTTTTTCCCCTGGCAGGTTTCCTTTTCTATTTTTCCTCATTTAGACATACTTGGGAAGGATAATCCTATTCTGAGCAACTGGTGTGGGAGGAGTAGAATTCTAAAAATTAGTTTAATTAGACCAGGACTGCCCAGAACAGTAGCCCCTAGCCCCGTGTGGCTGTTGAGCACTTCAAATGTGCTAGTCTGAGCTGAAATGTGCTGGAAGCATAAAATACAACTCCGAATTTCGAACACTCAGAATGAAAAAAAATATGAAACACCTCTAGTAGTTTTTATCTCTCTTACATTTTTGAGGGGATGGTATTTTGGATATATTGGGTTAAATAAATAACAGGTATTATTAAAATTAATTTCACTTGTTTTTTTTTCATCAATCTGGCTCCTGGAAAATTGAAAATGGCAGATGTGGCCGACGCTGTTGGCTCACTTGGCCCCATTTGGATATCATTGCCTTGGAGATTTGACAGATTTTTACAATAAAAGGGTGCCTCGAAAGGCGGGTAGGGTTTGTGTTCTCGATACTGTAACACATTCAATTAGGTAAAAATAGCCACATTACTGTACATTTTGGGTCACATATGTGCAAGCTTTCCCCACATTTTGTATTTCTTTTTGTCGGGAAGATACAGTCCATTTTAGCAATGTTTATGTACAGTGTTGATACACATCAGTAAAAAAAAAAAACAACCCAACAAAAGATGCTTTGCTATTGCTCTGTCTTCAGCAGTTACAAGAACTACGATTGTTTACAAATGCGAACCTACCAGATTGGGTTTGGGCCTTTTGAGGGCTGTCCCAACAAGGAGTAATTCTGAACTCCAAGGTCAGCTTGATGAACGCTCTTTTAGAGGCTGGTTCCATGAATACCATGTGTGCCAGGGGAAAAAGCACATTTTCTTACTGTTAACTCAAGAATTGTGTTGTGTACGGGACACAGTTGCTGCTTTATCTTTTGTCAACAAGTTGTGAATCTGCTCTTTGAAATTAAATTCTAAATCCAGCTTTCTGTTCATTGTTCACAGCGGCACAGCGGAGATCTTTGGGGTGGAGAGGTAGAAAACGCTTTCTTGCTTGTGCGGCCTCAGGCAGTGTAGTGTGAGAGTTCTAAAATTTAATGACCTTGTATATCATAAAGTTTTGAAACATCAGTGGTCAAGTGTTGCGAATTTTCTCGAAAGGGGACAAATTGGGCCGAATGACTTAAAGGTCAACAGGACTAAATTTCCACGCGAGGCATCTGGGGTTTTTAAAGGGAGCTCCGATCCCGCATGCTTCCTTTTTGCCCATCTGCGTGACAAGATGTTTTTGAAGAAAATGACATACCCATGTTGTGCGCTTTTTTTTTTTTTTAAATAACCTTAAAAATCCTCTGCGTTTACGTCGTGGAACAAAGCTCATTGACGGCCATCTTGCTACCTTGGGGAGGTTGAATGAGCCAGTACTTTTTCTGCATTTAAAAATTGGCTGAAAAAAAAATTTGCTGAACAGCATTGGCAATTTTTTTGTACTTAATAATATAATCTTTGCTTGTTTTGTGCATACGGTGTCTTTCCTCAGTTAATGGTCTAAAGTGTTTTCAGTTTTAACATTGAGGTCTCACCCATTTGTGGGTAAATAATGTACACACACTGCTTTTTTAGGCTTTCCAAAGTATTTGACTCTGGGCTGGGCGAACGATGGGCCAACCCTATCTTATTAAAAGGAATTTTTTTTTTTTAACTCCAGTTGACCTTTAAAGTAACATTGGCTACTTTTTTGTGGAATGCTGGTGATACCTTATATTTTATTGGAGAAAATAAACACCTGAAATGTTATCCCTTTTCTGTCTTCCTTACCTTCCTCTCTGCGTGCCTCAATTTACAGATCTTTATAGTTCCAAAAGCCACATGTCATCCTTTCTCTTACAGGCTTTAGTGAGTCCCTGAGAATTTTCAGTGTTGAGATTTAGTAAATAGGAGGAAAGGTAGGAGCAGTTTGCTTTAAAAAAGTTCATTGCTTGTTCCAAATTTTTTTATTCAGACAGTAGTTGAGAAAAAGGCTTTTGCAGGTTGAAAATGCTCATAGTACTCAAAAGATAATTGTAACTCATAAGCATGAGATGATCAGAATGTGCTAAAAGAGGCATCAGCCCATCGCCAAGCACCTAGAAGCCCGACCCCGAATGTCCAGCATAGAGGGAGATACCCACTCCCTGCCTGGGAGGTAACAGGGGAAGTAGCTGGTAGTCAGAATATGGGAGAGGATGGAGCTCGCAGAGGTTTTGAACCTGTTCTGAATTGACTCGGTTTTGAAATAACTTGATTTTTCTCTTTGATATTTAAATCACAAAACTTAATGCCAGAAAGCTCATTCTGGGGGGAAATTTGCTACAAACCAATTGGAAGATTTTTTTCTGGAGTCCTCATTTTAAAATTGTTTCATGATTTATACTTGTTTAATCTGTCTTTGAGGTCAAGGGATATGGGGGAAAAGAGTTGATTCCGCAAGGTGACAGGATTCAAATAATCCGCATATATTATTGGCCCCATAAATGCAGTTTGACATATACAATTGCATTGCTTGGCCTGCATTGCTTCTTTACCTTTCAGAGTCATCATAACTTTCCTTTTCATTATGTCATGCTGTTGAGGAGTCTTACGCAGTGGAACATTCTGTGATCACGGGCATGTTTGTTTGACCCTGCACTATTGAGTATGGGAGTCACCGGTCACATGTGGCTCTTGAGAATTTGCAGTGTGGCTGGTGCAACCAAGGAACTGAATCTTTAAATTGAATTTAGATAGTGACGTTCGACTAATGGTTACTCTAGTAAACAGCAAAGCTATAGTGATTAAAAAGTTAACTCTCTTACATTTCATTCTTAGTTCCACTTTCTTGATTTTTTTTTTTTTCCACTAGACTTACTTCCCAGGATATCCTTAGATCTGTTCTGTTTCCTTATTGCCCAGGGCATATATTCTACCGTTTGTTTTTGAAAACAATGGTGGAAATCCAAGGCAGATGAAATAAAACATAAATGCTTTGGAATTCACGGAAAAAATGGGAGACTTTTTTAAAGATCTGTTTAGGAAAACAGCTGAGATATGTTGACTTAATATTTTGTCTGATTAGGCTAGTGTGATGCTTTACACCTTATTTTTGTTATAAAAATAAAAGGTTTACAGAAAAGGGACAAAACATCTCATTTGAAATTTCTGAACACGAAGGCCACAATCTGGGTGTCACCAGTATATAGTTTAAAGCATGACATGACTTTGTTGTCATGATTTAATTTGGTTTGATCCTGTTCCTTAAACTGATCGCCACTTACAATGAATAAAACCAGTAATAACCCATTTTTTTTTTAACAATCTCCATTTTGATTTCTATCACCTGGGTCATGTGGGGAGGCATGCAGTTAAATGTGACTTTCCATTTGTTTCAACTTGACCACTGCACTCTTATCACTTAACAGAATTCTTTGGCTTGTCTTTTCACTGAATGAAATTTTCATTGGCATGTGCCTTAAAAGTGGCTTTGCTGCTTATTTCGTTATATGCCTGCTGTGTTGTGAACTGTCTTGGACTTGTGTTGCATGTTTTAAGAATTATTATAAGAATATATTTTATGTAGCGTTTTCTAATTTTTATGGGGCAAGCGTTTTTGGTCATGCTTTTTTTTTTTTTATAGGTTTAGAAATGTAAAGGTAAATGAAGATCTTAAAAATACTGCATGTTTTCACATTAAGTAGTTTTGGGGACTCAGTACCACTTGGCATGCTGTAGAATCACTTCAAACGAATACTATTGTGGGCTGATAGTGAAATTTTACCTTTACCATGGCCAGACCTACTTGAAGACAGTGTTTTCAGTGATGATGGTAATGTGCCAAGGCGATACTAACATAGCTGTTGAAAGACCTTTTCTAAATGTGGTATACCAAGTTTAGCCATTCGTTTTTGGTACTGGATCCATGGCAGAATAAAGGAAGGCTTTAGGTTAAGAAGTTTGTGTTTATAATTAGGTAGTTACTTTGTGGGCAACCAAGACTGTGTCCTCTCAATTTCTAAATGAGAGCAGGGACTATGATATGCATGCGCTTAGGCTAAAGGGACAACCCCAGATTCTCGTGAACCTGTGGGTAAGGATGGTCACGCCTTGGTCTCTTGATCTGTTAAAATCAGGATACTATTGGAAAAAAGTGTGCTATTTATAATCATTCACTGTATTAGGTATATATTAGAAAATTGTAATACTTTTTGGGTTAACTTGGTGGCTTACTGAATTAAGTAATTTTAATGATTCTTTTTTTCAGGTCATAAGAAGATACTAAATGGTTGGTCCCTCATAAAGTCACTAGATTCTAGGTCTATGGATGAGCTTTTCACTCTTTGATAGATTGCACTCAGTTAACTAATGATTTGGTTGGCCTACCCAGATAAAACAATACTACCGTGGGAAACTCTCTTTTGCAGTGGTTCTTAACCGTTTTGTGATCACATATTCCTTTGAGAATCTGATCAAAGCTATGGATTGTTGAACCAGAAAATAAGCATCGGTATATAGATGCAAAATTTGCCTACAGTTTCAAATAGTGTGCAGAACTATTTGGATCTTTCTGGAGCCTATCCATGGGGCACCCGTTAGGGACTCCTGTCATTTACATATGAACTCATTTCCTATCCATCAGCCAAGGCTGTGTTCATTTAAATGGAAACCAAATTACTGTGGATATGATATATAGAAATGAAAATAAATGTTAAGTATATAATTCAAAAAAACCCTGACCCTGTGTAGTATTGTATTCTGTGTTTTGTCCATGGATCTGTTTGGTTTGATAAGGCTGTTGTGTGGGGTTTACTATAGATTTTCCTTTCCTTTTTAGACCTATTTAATAAATTGGGCTTGTCTTTCGTATACAAAGGAAAAGCAAGCATTAAGCCTTTTCAGCATACAGACGTGGAGCCGCTTTGAGTAGTATTTTGGGGGGTGGACGGGGGGGAACTATATTATGTAGATCTGTCTCTTTGCAAAACACCACTCCTTTCTTCTTCATTCTGTTCGTTTTCCTACTGACATAACTAAACAAGGACTTCCAATTACACAGGCTGGAAGCGCGGTTCCCTGACCCCTAGGACAACCACTTTTCCTTGCCCCGGCTGTGAGCACGATGTGGATCTGGGAGAACGAGGAATCAATGGTCTGTTCCGCAACTTCACTTTGGAAACTATCGTCGAGAGGTACCGGCAGGCCGCGAGGGCGGCCACAGCCATCATGTGTGACCTCTGTAAGCCACCACCCCAGGAGTCCACCAAGAGTTGCATGGACTGTAGTGCGAGCTACTGCAACGAGTGCTTCAAAATTTACCACCCTTGGGGTACAGTAAAAGCTCAGCACGAGTATGTGGGTCCAACCACTAACTTTAGGCCCAAGGTAAGTGAAGTTTTGATTGAGTTCGAATAGTCATATTGCAAAAGGAATTATTACGTGTGCGGAGCTTGACAGCAAGAATGGAAAGAACTTGAAAAGCCTACATAAGAGGGCCGCCCCCCCCCCCCCGGCTGGCCCGTTCGGTTGAGCGTGCGACTCGATCTCAGAGTTGTGAGTTCAAGCCCCACATTGCGTGTAGAGCTTACTTTTAATTAATTAATTAATTAATTGGATGGTGTTCATGAACATAGAAACCTATGTTTAGTTTGTTAGAAGAAAATGAGAACATTAAAAAAAAAAAAAAAGCCCGTACAAGAAATGAAGGCCTTGGTATCTGGAGTTATTCGTGTGTGGATACACACCCCACACAGCCTAAAGGCGTTATTCTGGGTCGCTGTGTAATGCATACACGGTGTCATGCAACATGACACACGAACGTTCCTTGTGATTCCTCTGCAAACAGGACAGACTGAGTTGTCTCAGAGGTACTCTCTAAGATCGAAACGCTCGTGAAGTTCAAACGCTTTTGTGCTTTAATGTGATAAACCCGTAGTTGTCTAAAAGATTTGACTGGGAAACTTTTTTCTGACGTTTTTAGTTAGCCAAACTTGTGCTAGGGATACATAACATTAAGTACAGCCTAAGGTTCTGAAGCTTGTGGTATAACGTTTATATAATATCTGAAGTGGAATTTGCGTTTCTTAAATATTCTGGGTAATCTCTCTAATAATGCTCAGAAGACCTTTATGCACTATTGTTTGCTCTGCTTTGTGACTGAAAAGCAGAATGATGTTTGGATATCCTCATTTATACTGCTTTCTGATTCAGATAGATTTAAAAAGAAAAAAGACCCAATAGATTCTTTGGATTAAAGTTCTTATTCCTTCCAGTTCAGTAACTTGCGTGAGTATGAAAATCTGTTTACATTCTTGAGCATAAAACTTCGCTGTCACTTTAATTTGTAGTAGAAAAATGGGGGACACCTGGGTGACTCAGTTGGTTAAGTGTCTGACCATTTAGCTCAGCTCAGGTCTTGATCTCAGGGTCTTGAGTTTGAGCCCTACGTTGGGCTCCATGGTGGGTGTGGAGCCTACTTGGGAAAAAAAATCCTGAAAGTTATCTTTGAAACTAGCTGCTATTTCTTACATATATACATATATATATATATATTTTTTGTAAGCCCTATGCTCACCGTGGGGTTCGAACTCATTAACCGTGAGATCATGCATCGCATGCTTTTCTAACTGAGCCAGCTGGGCTCCCCTCTGACATCTTTCTCAGTAGGGCAGGACTGGTGGATGAAAACAAAAACAGTCTGTGCTTCCAGCTTTGACTCTTTCTTCAAACTGGGTCAGTGTGTGTGGCAATAGATTTATCAAAGAGTTTTTAATCCCGTATTATGTTCCTTATCTCATTTTAAATGCGCCAGGTCACAGACTCTTAAAAATTTATGACTTCAGCTTGGTGCTTTAAATGCCTCTTTTAGAAGATTAATTAAGTTGATTAATACTATTCCATCATGAAAGAACCTATGATTAAATGAATTATATTAGACTTAGGTTTTTATAATTTAAAACACATGGAGTATAAATTGCAGACTTATTCTCCTTAGAAATACAATAAAAGATTGGTAAGAGAGAACCGAAGAGGTAGGAGTTAGGTTATATTGAGGAAAATATTGTTTTCCTTAAATTACAGTGTTATGCCATATTAGTAAAATTCTGCGAACTTGTCCCTTATGGAATATTTGCGTCTAACTTTGAGCTCTTACCATCCTTCCTTGTAGAAAGCCAGATTTTACATTTTGTTAAAATGTAATGGCTTTGAAAACTAATGTAACATTGTGTGTCAGCTATGCTGGAATTAAAATAAAAACAAAGAAATAAATGTAGTGGTTTTGAGAATGTAGGAACTTGGACATGCTGGAAATTTTGAATTTTTTTCCAGTTGTTTTTCTCCTGGTCCTGCACATTGGGATTAGGACTTTTCGTATTGGACATTTCTTTGTGTCTTGATATTACAAACCAGTGTGATTGCTGAAAATCGGAACTGTTGGAGCCACAGACAACTTTTTGATTTCATTGACACACTAGTCTAAAGGAATCTCCTCTTTTTTGCAAATGTGAAACCAGTTACTTCATGTACAATTTCAGACATACCTATGGTGATAGTTTATAGAGTAAATAAGAAGGTAGAAACTTAAATCAGAAAAACACAGTCCAAAAAAAAACAAAAAGAGAAAGAAACATGCAGTTCTAAATTTGGTCAACGTATACATGTTTAATATGTAAAAGCAAACATCTGGAAGCTTGTATCAGGAAGTGTTCCAAGACTCCTTGGTTAGCAGATTGCTCTCTCTTTTTTTTTTAAGATTTTAAGTAATCGCTGTACCCCATGTGCAATTCAAGCTCACAAGCCCCAGATCGAGTTGCATGCTCTACCAACTGAGCCAGCCAAGCGCCCCCTTAGTAGCGCATTTCTTATGAGGATGGTGAGGCCCTGGGTCCCCACAGTTATTTGTTATGGTACCTTACAAAAATATTGGTCGTGTCATTCAGATGGGCCAGTCTGTGTGGCCAGAGGGCCTTTCTGGCTGGATTCAGCGAGTAAGTCTGATAGGAATGAAACCTATCACCACCTTACCACCAAGTTCAGTGGCAATAACATCTGCATATTTAATTGATCATTTGAACCCTCAATTTGAAAAAGAGTTAATTCTAATACACCAAATTTTTTTACACTTTTATTCATTTAAATGGCTTTATTTAGTGATTTTGTAAAGCACGTCTTTGTATTTTGGGACTTGGAGTATCCTGCAAACTCTGAGGACCCTTAATTACACATTTGTTCTGCACTCAATAGATTTTAATGTGCCCAGAGCATGAAACGGAGAGAATAAACATGTACTGTGAGTTATGTCGGAGGCCAGTTTGTCATCTCTGTAAGTTGGGCGGTAATCACTCCAATCACCGGGTGACCACCATGAGCAGCGCCTACAAAACATTAAAGGTAGGATTTATGTGTTTGGGGAACTAACTTTTGAGTCTTTTATAACTTTGGTGTTACTTTATGCCTTTAACTTTGTTTGTCTTTATAAAATCATGGCTTGCCCTGTGGTCTTGTTTTACTGAAACGAGTCAACAACGTAAAGGGTCCTTCAGTGATCCAGTATGAGGTGGTTAGTGTGTTTGAGTCGGCAGTCCTTGGTCATACTGATGGGCTAGTTCTGAAGAAAGAGAGGGATGAAGGCCACTCCATGATGATCCCCATGTGAGCCTGGTGCCTGCAGTTGAGTGTGTTTGTGTGGCAATGGCACGCCTGTTGAGTGTGTGTGTGTGGCAATGACAAGCCTGTTGAGTGTGTGTGTGGAAATGACAAGCCTGTTGAGTGTGTGTGGAAATGACACGCCTGTTGAGTGTGTGTGGAAATGACACGCCTGTTGAGTGTGTTGGGGGAATGTCACACCTGTTGAGTGTGTTGGGGAATGTCACACCTTGAGTGTGTGTGGAAATGACATGCCTGTTGAGTGTGTTGGGGGAATGTCACACCTGTTGGAGTGTGTGTGGGAATGCCACACCTCGAAGGATGGTAGCCATGTTAAGACACTTGATTCCTGTTGCTTGCTTGTAGAAATAGTGGAAACTATTTACAATAAGGGTCTGGTGGGACCCTTAACAGCTAAAACTGAGTTACTTCCTGTCTCTGAACCTTATACATGGACCTTTGAAAACTTTCAGATTGATCGATAATCTACAGCATGGTAGGCAATGGTATGATGCTATTTTTTGTTTTATTCTTTTTTCTTTCAAATGATATCTTCATTCGTAAATCCACCTCCCATTTTAATTAGTTTCCTTTCTACCTTTAACAGTATGTACCTGCCTTTGGGGCCTAGATCTAATTCTTATTTACCCACACAGCTTTATCTTTTGCATATGATTTGTCTATCACGTGAGCTCAGTCTGTCTTCTACTTTGAATATACGTGGGGTATGGGTATAATCGTTGTATTGTCCTGGTCTGCTAATTCTGTCATCTGTCATTGCTAGGTCAGTTTTGTAAATTTCACCTTGTTGGGCAGTGGCTTCTGTGCCCTACAGATATTCTTGAGTTTTCTTCTATGTGTGATTAAGTTACCTCAGAATAGTTTGTTGCTTTTGGGTCTTGCTTTAGGCTTAGTTAGGAAGGAGTAGCATTTAATTCTCTTACTAAGACTACTCTTCTCATTTATTCTTCTCAATGACTTTTGGATTTTGAGTTTCGTGGGTTTTTTTGAGAGGTTTTTAATTTGTTGCTTGTTTGTTTAGTTTGGTGCGTCACAGGCACTATTCCCAGCCTGATGTGAGCTCCTGGAATTGTTCCTTGTAATCCTCTTGGGGGTGATCCTTCCCCTGGCCTCTGAAAGCTTCCTCACACATGGGAATTGGTCAGTACTCTGCTGAATAAGCCAGAGGAACCCTTGGTACATTCTCCAGAGAGTTCTGTCATTTTCTCTTCTTGGGGATTTTGCTTTCCGTACTCTGGTCTCCCTGGACTCTCGGTTTCGTCTCTTCAGCTCCTGGGAGACCCTGGATCCACCTGAGTTCTCTGCCCTGGGCCTTGGAGGACGCCGGGCCCAGACAGGACGGTGGGCACAAACATGGGCCCATCTTGTTTCCCCTCTCTCCGTGTCCAGCGTCTCGAGAGCCATTTTATATATTCTGTTAGGTTTTAAGATTTTTTTCAGGTGGGAGAATCGATTGTTACTCATTTGTGCCCCCCAGTGGCATTCCCTTTGTTTGCTAATTAAATTTAACTATTTTTTTAAGATACTATTTATTTGACAGAGAAGAGAAAGTGCAAGTAGGCAGAGTGCTAGACAGAGGCAGAGGGAGAAGCAGATTCCCTGCTGAGCAAGGAGCCCGATGTGGGGCTCGATCCCAGGACCCTGGGATCATGACCTGAGCCGAAGGCAGACACTTTAACTGACTGAACCACCCAGGTGCCCCTGTTATACAGAGTGTTGCAAGAACTGAAGAAAGATGAGCATCAGGGTGATGTAACCTTGTCCACCTTACTGCTGCTGTTTGTTGAAACTGCTGAAGCTGGGGCCAGGCTTCCCGTCTGCCTCTGTCCGATCTGGCTTCTAATACCGGTTGACTGTGTTGCAGTGTCTGGCCTCTCCTTGGAATTTCTACCAAGCTATGTAATTGAGGGTGCCCTTCCAGTTGCAGAAAGTGCTAACGCTTTCTGGTGAACTGGCCTAAATAGTGAATAATGGAGAGGAATGGTCCTGTTGGCTGGCAGTCTCCTGTTCTTCTGTTGGGGTGAGACATGTATTTTTTGTTCTGTTTTTGTTTTTGCTTCCACATGACCTCACTCCTGCTAATCCCTGGATAGAAAGACACCTGCCTACGTGGACACACGTTGCAGATGGCATGGTTCCATTTCTTTTGTAGCTTGCCTTTGTTTATTGACCTCGCTCTTCCCGCCATATTCATTGCAGCATACGTTCTCTTTATTACGTGGTCTGAGTGAGCAAAGGGGAAAATGATAAAGGCAGGAGACTGGCTTCTTGAATTCCTAAAAGTTAGATCTCTGGTCCTCTCCTTTTCTTACCCACCCTTTCACTCGGGGCAGCCGCGTTTGAGAAATGCTCAGATCCGCTTGTCATGGCTCCAGCTTGGGTGGAGTTTTCTGGATGACGTTCTTCTTATTTAGACCGCATACGTTTGTCTCTTACAACTGTGTACCCCATGGTGCTTCAAGGGGTTTTTGGTTTGGTTTTTAATATACTTCAGTCATACATACTACTTTTTCTGGGTTAAACTAGGGATCTCACCAAAACCTACGATACTATGTCTATGGTAAGCAGACTAACTACTTTATACTTACTTTAGTAAGCTCTGGGAGCTTAATGAGCTGTATTTTTATAAATCTATATTATTGTGTATGTGTAATTATTTAATGAATATCTAGTCTTGGCTAGGCTGCGAAGGTCATTTTGGAAGGGTCTCTGTTGCTTTTTGGGTCTTTGTGTGTGTGTGTGTGTGTGTGTGTGAGAGAGAGAGAGAGAGAGAGAGAGAGAGAGAGAATGAATGATAAAATCTGATGGAAGACAATCCTATTTGAATTGCTGTTCTTCCATTTACTTAGAAACCTGGGGAGGAAGACCGGGGAACAATGAAGAGACAACAAAAATGTATTATTTATGTATTCTGGTTTTTTGACTAATCTGAGCATCACTGCCCTGTTCTTTTATTCAGCCTGCTTCTCATCTCTCATAGATCCGTGGGCCTCTGCTCAAGGCCAGTAACTGTTTACCCTGGGTTAATAAGGAGAATCCTCAGGGTTGGTTTTACTGCCTGTTCATCATAGGCTAAAGAATTGTGTGTGAAAATATAATAGGACAGAAGGAAGGAGGGAAGGAAGGAAGAAAAGGAAGGAAGGAAGGAAGATCTGCAAGGCCTTTGTTAAACTTCTGCTCATTTGTGTTACTGATATATTCTAACAGGAAAAGCTTTCAAAGGATATTGATTACCTTATTGGCAAGGAGAGCCAGGTGAAGAGTCAGATTTCTGAACTAAACTTGCTAATGAAAGAAACAGAGGTAAGTGATAAACTGGTTTATGTATTTTTCCATCTAGAGAATTTATTCATTCATAAAATCCGGAAGGTAGTAAATGAGTTGGGAGTACAAAGTTGTATTAGATTTCACCCCTGCTTTTATGGGACTAGGAAAACCAGTATAAAAAACAAGTTCTAATGTGTGATCAGTGCCCGAGAGAGGTGGTGATTAAATGCTACTGAGACACGGGGGGAAAGAATGACTGACCCTTTACTTGGGCAGTTTTGATCTCAGAAGTAGTAACATAAGGTAAATTTTGGAATTTTTGACAGTTATCTGTAGTTTACGAAACTAACAGATTGCTTTTGAAGTATGTACTATATGTTGACTTAAAATGCGCTGTTCCCAAGTACATGCCTGAGACATGTTCACCAAAAGACACACATTGGAATGTTCATGGCTGCAATTAAACAGCCACAAAGTGGGAACTACCCATGTATCCCTCAGCAGTGGAATATAATCAGCCTTGAGCGGGAATATCTGCAACTAGATGCAACAGTGTAGCTAAGTCTTGCAATAATATTGAAAGAAAGATGCCCCAGCAAAGGGGTACAAACTCTGTGATGCCCTTATGAAAAGTACCGACAAAGGTGAAACGGTTAGAACTCGGGACAGGCGTTATGGAAGGGTGGGGAAGTGGAAGGATGGGTGTCTGGCAAGACTGGCCTCTGGGGTCTGGGTAATGTTCCTTTGCTTAACCTGGATGCAGGTTACATGGGTGTATTTGCAAAGATTTCGTCCGTCTCCACACTCATATATATTTTTCTGTGTGTATATTATACTTCAATAAAATGGAGAAAATTGATAGCATTTAAAAAATACGGTAGGGGGGCGCCTGGGTGGCTCAGTTGGTTAAGCGACTGCCTTCGGCTCGGGTCACGATCCCGGAGTTCCGGGATCGAGTCCCGCATCGGGCTCCCTGCTCAGCGGGGAGTTTGCTTCTCCCTCTGACCCTCTCCCTTCTCGTGCTCTCTCTCTCTCTCATTCTCTGTCTCTCGAATAAATAAATAAAATCTTTAAAAAAAATAAAAAATAAAAAATACGGTAGAAGAAGATAGGACTGGGTTGTTTTAAAATTCCAAATATTCTTCATTGATTTGGATGTGTGTTTCTGTTCTCTACTTGAAATAAATTGAAGAGCCATTATTCCTGATCACTTTAAGAACTTATGATGAAATAGAAAAATATCCTGGCTAGTATGAGACTGTTAATTTCTTGAAATTTAGTTTTCCAAAATGGGTTAAAAAAAAATTGAGACATTATGCAAATTAGCACCAGATAACCAGCACTGCTTTTGTTTTGTTTTTTTTAAAGATTTATTTATTTATTTTTTGAGAGAGTGAGAATGAGAGAGAGAGAGAGAGAGAGCACATGAGAGGGGGGAGGGTCAGAGGGAGAAGCAGGCTCCCCGCTGAGCAGGGAGCCCGATGCGGGACTCGATCCCGGGACTCCAGGATCATGACCTGAGCCGAAGGCAGTCGCTTAACCAACTGAGCCACCCAGGCGCCCCACTGCTTTTGTTTTTAATACTCTTTTTTTCTGATACTCACTGATTGCATTCACCACCCTAAGTAAATTGTTCTTCCATGTACTTGAAAAGCGGGATTTTGTTTTTCTCATGTTTGTCTTGATGACCCACTCTCTCAGTGCCGGATCATCCCCCAACCCTCTTGGCAGGTGATCACCTACATAGAGGAGTTTGCTGCAGGGATCGTATCTTGGGTCATTTTAGGTTTGTTTCACTCCTGGTCCTCAGTCATGCTGCCCTGACTTCTGAAATAAGGGAGCCCCAGCACCGTTGCTGAGTTGTTGATTCATATCAAGTGTTCATGCAGACGCTGAGTCCTTGGGATCCTGGAAAAATTACTTAGCTTCTCTGTGTCCCTTTGACCAAAGCTGCATTTGTGAGCTTATTAGCAAGAATGTCCTACACTGGAGAATTTGTCTGTATTCTTGACTTTTACTCAGTGAGGACTGTGACACTTTTTTTTTTTTTCTATAATTACACTTAGCTGGGGGGAAAAAATCCCTCTTTTTTACCTATGTGGAATGATCTTTTGAATTTAAGGTGATTTTTATCACTGAAATACTACCAAAATGTCACCACCCTCTGTCCCCCTTTCTTCCTTCCCTCCTGCCCACCCTTTACAAAAATTTTTGCCTGTTGGGTTTAGGAAACAGAGAAAGGAATCTGGAAAAAATTTCCTTTCATCAGAAATGTTGGCCAGAAGCCATTGGGAAGTGCACAATGCACTTCTTCCATATGTTGTCAGCTTTTAAGAATGTGTTTGAAGACATTTTTTTTTTCTGTTGGCTATTGCTTATGGGTCTGTAATCATGATTGCGTATGTGTGCTCTGCTGGTCTTATTTTCAAAATCAAGTTGGTCCCTGATTTTATGGACATTCAGAATGTTTTGTAAGCACTACAGACAGGATCATTTTATGACCAAGTAGAGGAAGAGCTGTGTGTGCAGTGAGTATAATAATTCTCTCTGTGTACAGAGTGTGTGCCATTGTCGTGGGCATTTTATGTACATAATATTTTTCAATCTTCAAAAAAACCCAAATCAACACCTGGGTGGCTCAGTCAGTTGAGCGTCTGCCCTCAGCTTAGGTCATGGAGCTCCTTGCTCGGCGGGGAGCCTGCTTATCCCTCTGCCACTCCCCCTGGTTGTGCTCTGTCTCTCTTTTTTCTCTCTTTTTCTCTCTCTCTCTCTCTCTCTCTCTCTCTCTCTCTCTCTGGTGAATAAATAACAACAAAAAAAAACCTGTTAAAAAAACAAAACAAAACCCAAATGGTTTCTCTTATCCCCAGCTTTCAGAAGAGAAAAACTCAGACATACAGAAGTTAAATAATTTGCCTAAAGTCACACAGGATTTAATTCTAATTAAGTTATATTAATTTGAAAAGAAGAGTTACAGTTTTGGATCTTAGTAAAGGATGTCATCTTCCTGAGTTTCATGCTGTGATTTAAGTTTTCTTAAAAAAAATTGGAAGAGGTTAGAAAGGGTCAAAAGTTGCCCAAATTAGAAACTCCAGAATTATATTGTACAGTGTCTTCGGTTAAATCAGTTAATTTCTGCCTCCGATGCCTTTGCATCCACGTTGAAGGTTGTTTCCTTATGGGATTATTTACTGCTGAACTTTGGAGATGAGAGTTTAAGGAGAATACAGTATCATACGATCACAAAGTATGTCTAACTAAGAGTCGGCGATCATTCCTCACTAAGTGTACTCGATGCCAAATTATTGTTCTGAAAATGTCAGAGTCGGACAAAACTAAATTTTGGTTATTTTGAGAAAAGACATTTGGATTTAGCAGGTGAGGTAACGCTTTCGCTCGTTTTATAATAGTGTAACGGAGAGAGAGCAAAAGAAGAAGCAATCACACATTTTGAGAAGCTCTTTGAAATCCTAGAAGAGAGGAAATCATCTGTTTTGAAAGCAATTGATGCTTCTAAGAAACTAAGACTAGACAAATTTCAGACCCAAGTGGAGGAATATCAGGGGCTTCTAGAGAACAATGGGCTGGTGGGATATGCCCAAGAAGTGCTTAAGGAGACGGATCAGTCCTGTTTCGTACAGACAGCGAAACAGCTCCACCTCAGGTACGTTGCTTTGAATTTAGAATCTCCTTGGCAGCGACCTTAAATGCCGCTCTGTGTTTCAGCTTGAGCTCTTGGGGTCCTAATGCTGTGCCCTGCAGAGACACCCTTGCTGCACTCCTAACCGGAACCTTGAGCGACGTTTTTTGTTTGTTTGTTTGTTTGTTTTTTTAATCACATTGCAGATGTTTAGTCTGATGGGCCTTTTATGGAGTTGTTTTTATATAAACTCTATCTGTCCACAGAATACAGAAAGCTACGGAATCTCTGAAGAGCTTTAGACCCGCGGCTCAGACTTCTTTTGAAGACTATGTTGTTAATACATCTAAACAAACAGAACTTCTTGGAGAATTGTCCTTTTTCTCTAGTGGTAAGTTTCAGTGACGGGCAAAAGCTTCTTAACTCTTGTAGTTGGAATTCGCATTACATGGGAAAAACGCCCCCTTCGGTTTGATAGTATGAAAAGGCAAGTTTTTCTGCACAAAGAGTATATATTCTGTTGGTTTGTGTGGTTTTTAAACACTGTATGGGTGGCTCAGTCCGTTCATCGTCTGCCTTCGGCTCAGGTAAAGTTCCCAGGGTCCTGGGATGAAGTCCTACATCGGGCTCCTCGCTCGGCGGGGAGTCTGCTTCTCCCTCTCCCTCTGCTCCTCCCTACTCTGATGTGTGCACGCACACTCACTCTCTCTAATAAATCAATAAAATCTTTAAAAAAAAATACATTCAATAAATGGCATCACATTGCTTATGTATCCTTTCTGTGAATTGTTTTTCAAGAAAATGCAGTTTAAGATATTTGTGACTCACAAAGTTCTGGTTGAAAGCTCTATTGTAGCTGTTTATAGTATTTCATTATATAAACCATTTCCCTACCGAGAGATGATTTGTTTCTGTTTTTTTGTCCATTGCTGTGTTGAACACCTTCGTCAGTGTTCACTTGTGCACATGTATGTGGTTTTTCTCTAGGGCAGAAAACTAGAAATGATGTCTCCAGGCTAAAACTGACTCCAAGAGGTTTTAAGTGTTTGCCTGGCTGTATTAATTAGTTTGTGAGGGCTGCTGAAACAAAATACCACAGACTGCCTGCCTTGAACAACAGAAATGTAATTTTCTTCCAGTTCTGGAGGCTCAAAGTCTGAGATCAAGGTGTTGGCAGAGTTGGTTTCTTCTGAGGCTGTTCTCCTTGGCTTGCAGATGGCGGCCTTCTGGTGTCTTCACATGGCCTTCCATCTACACGTCTGTCTAAATTTCTACTTACAAGGACACCAGTCATGTTAGTCATGGTGGATTAGTTCCCATCTTAATGACTTCATTTTAACTTTACCTCTATAAAGACTCTTTCTCCAAATAAAGTCACAATCTGAGTTACCGTGGGTTAGAACTTGAGCATGCAAATTTTGGGGCCATAACACGTGCTTATGATTGTGTTTTGCTGTTCCCCAGTGGGGAGGTCTTCCTTTCCTTTTTCCCTTCTTGCCTGGTTCGTATTCCACCCCCACCCCACCCCCTGCCGCCCGGGTTTCTCTTCTAGTGCTGGTGAACAGTTAGAATCGTTAGAATGGAATACTTGCAGATTGATGACTGTGTAGGTATGTATGTGTGGATTTGTAGTCATCTGGAGGAAATTTGTCCTGTTAAAGTTAGAAATTCTAGGGGTGCCTGGGTGGGTGGCTTAGTACAGCATCCGACTTGATCCTTAGGTCTTGACCTCAAGAGTTGTGAGTTGAAGCCTCACACTGGGCATGGAACCTACCTAAAAAAAAGAAAAAAAACTGAAGTTAAAAACTCGGAAGGATTATTACCATGACCTGCTTTCTTTCACATCTATACCTGAATCTCCTTTCAGGTATGTGCTTATCTTTTTTTCTTTTTTTAAAGATTGATTGATTGATTTTTTTAGAGCGTTTATTTATTTTTAGAGAGAGTGCACGCGAGTGAGGGGGGAAGGGGGAGAGGGGGAGAGAGTCCTCAAGCTGCGTGTAGAGCGCGATGTGGGGCTCAGTCCCGGGACCCTGAGATTGTGACCTGAGCCTAAATCAAGAGTCGGACACTTAACTGACTGAGCCACCCAGGCACCTGAATATGTGCTTATTTTATATTTATAACGATCTTTTTCCAAATACATATTTGTTACTCTTTCAAATGCTAATTCTACTTCAGGTACTATAGTCTCCCTTTTTCCAAAACATATACTTGAATTGTTTTTTGTATACATGCTAGTTTACTTAGGAGAACAAGGTCCTCTCGTCCCTGGGGGTCCCAAAACAGTCCTTGGAAAGATGATGTTGAAGGTTGATAATCTTGGGTTGGACCAGTGTCTAACAAAGAACCAAGTGTAGAGGATGGGTGACCATGGAAAGTCATTACCCAGCTTCTGACTGTGATGGATGGTCTCATTGTGTCCTGCATGCACATTTTTTTAGTAAGCTATGTTTCAAAAGAAAAGGGGTATGGACTGGGGTATGTACTACTCATGTAATTTTGCCCCCCAAAATGTATTTTGAATGACTTTCCAGATCTCATATGGCTGTGTAACATTCAGTTGCATAAACGGACCATACACAGACATGCTTCTACATTGCTTATATGTATCTGGGGGAGGCCAAGAGGGAGACTTTCATTTTCATTTTCTGATTTAATGTAAATCTGTGTTACGTGCGTGTGTGACTTTTATAGCTTATCCTAAGCACTTAAGCTTATTGGAATTTCTTCTATGGAAGGGATTCTGCATATGCACAAAGGTTTAGCTGTGATACTTTTGTATCCTAGTTTTTATGAAAAACTGGAAACCCGTTTCTGAAAATTGTTAAATGTAGATACAGCCATGGAGTGAAATGCCAGTGGGAGAAAAATACTGGCAGGATCTGTACAGAATTATTGTGGTGATTATTTTTGAGTTGCTTAAAGTGTGTTTTATGTAGTTTCTGATTTTCTTATTATGTGTCATATTTATGCCAAGAAAAATTCATTTAAATTGCTTTGCAACTCTTTGGAAGAAAACCTGAAAGAAAAATGTATGTTTCATTGAACTTTGTTAGACTTGCCCAACTTAGATTTAAAAGTATTTACTAAAATAATTCTAGGAGGACACAGATTAAAAATTTCAAGTCCAGTGTTGTTGTTTTAGTAGGTGGAAATTGAAAGGCATAGGTTAAAAACTGATTTATGGTGTTTCAGAATGAATATGACATGTAAAGCTAAATTGGATTCTTTTTTTTACTTATTTGTCATTTTCCTTCTTCCTTTCGGTTATAAACCTAAATATACGTTTAAAAATCTTTATTGCTTATTCTTTTTCTTTTCTTTTTTTTAAAGATTTTATTTATTTCTTTTTTTTAAAGATTTTATTTATTTATCTGAGAGAGAGAGAATGAGAGAGAGAGAGCATGAGAAGGGGAAGGGTCAGAGGGAGAAGCAGACTCCCCGCTGAGCAGGGAGCCCGATGTGGGACTCGATCCTGGGACTCCAGGATCATGACCTGAGCTGAAGGCAGTCGCTTAACCAACTGAGCCACCCAGGCGCCCTCTTTTTTTTTTTTTAAAGACTTTTTATTTATGGGGCGCCTGAGTGGCTCAGTCGTTAAGTGTCTGCCTTTGGCTCAGGTCATGATCCCAGGGTCCTGGGATCGAGCCCCACATCCCTGCTCCGTGGGAAGCCTGCTTCTCCCTCTCCCACTCCCCCTGCCTGTGTTCCGTCTCTTGCTGTGTCTCTGTCAAAAAAGATTTTTTATTTATTTATTTGACAGAGACCACAGCAGGGGGGGAGGGGCAGGGGGAGAGGGAGAAGCAGACTCCCCACTGAGCAGGGAGCCCAGTGTGGGACTCGATGCAGGACTCGATCCCAGGACCCTGAGATCATGACCTGAGCCAAAGGCAGACGCTTAACTGACTGAGCCACCCAGGCGCCCCATGCTTATTCTTCTTCATGTTCAATTTTGTGGTAGGAGCACTTACCTCAAGATCTGTTCTCTTAAATTCTAAGCATGGAACACAGCGGCTTTGACTCTTGAGTATGATGTTGTACTGAGGTCTCCAGAACTTCCTCATCTTATTTGACTGATACTTCATGCCTCTTGATTACTTGATTAATAACTGCCCATTGCTCCCTCCCCCAGCCCCGGCAGCCAGCATTCCAGTCTTTTCATTTTGTGAACTCGGCTCTTGGAGATTCCTCATAGAAGTGGGATCACGCCGTCAGCGTACGTCTCTGGTATCTGGCGTATTTCAGCTTGTGTGTCACAAGGCCCGTCCGTGTTGTATGTTGCCGGAATTCCTCTTTTCCTTATACACAGCATTACAGACTTAGAAAAGTCTTGGACCGGACAGAAATGATTAAAGTCTCGTCGGTACATCATTTTTATTGAGGGACATACAGGTTCTGAAAGACCGATATTTTAACATCTTTTGTTTCTTGATGCTTTCAGGCATAGACGTGCCAGAGATCAATGAGGAACAGAGCAAAGTGTATAACAATGCTCTGATCAACTGGTACCATCCCGAGAAGGATAAAGTGGATAGCTATGTTCTTGAATATCGGAAGATTAACAGAGATGAAGAAATGTTGTCTTGGAGCGAGATCGAAGTGTGTGGCACGAGCAAAGTCATCTCAGACCTGGAAAGCAATTGTAACTATGCTTTCAGAGTCAGAGCCTACAAGGGTTCGATCTGCAGCCCTTGCAGCAGGGAGCTGATCCTCCATACCCCTCCAGCTCCAGGTATTGTGAATATTGGGACTCAGAAAGCCTTAGAGTTGGAAGAGACCTTGAGAAAAAATAACCTAGCCAGCATCTCTGTCTAGATCCACGTTGAAACCAGCTCTCACTTGTTAAAAAAAAAAAAAAAAAAAATTCTAGAAAATAGGTTCCATCCCTAGCTAGGATTTAGAAGTAGACCAAGTACGTGAATTTCATCAGGTAGGCTGGGAGCAGGATTAGAGTTTGGCCTGACAGCAGATACAGAAAAACAAGACATTTGAGTGAGCAGGGCTATTAATTTGAGATTAAAATGGCGTAGATGCTACCTTACAAGTTTTATAAACAGTAGAATTCTGTGTTTTTGATAAGTTTATAGAAATCTCTATAACAGGGGCGCCTGGGTGGCTCAGTCATTGGGCGTCTGCCTTCGGCTCAGGTCACGATCCCAGGCTCCTGGGATCAAGCCCCACGTTGGGCTCCCTGCTCAGCGGGGAGTCTGCTTCTCCCTCCTCTCCTCCTGCTCTCCCGTTCGCTCTCTCTATCTCTATCTCAAATAAATAAAATCTAAAAAAAAAAAAAAAAAGCTCTACAACATAGTTATAGGTAGATTTAAAAAAAAAAATTATTGTTATAATATGAAATGTTGTGATTAACCTCCTTCTGACTTGTCCGGATTTTCTCTCTTAACTCAGTGATTCCCGGCAGGCGGGGTTGGAGGGCATATATTAGAACCACATGGTAGCTCCCCCCTCCCCCAAAAGCTCCCCTTGCCCAGCCCCCTCCCCCACCTTCCGAGGCAGAAACCACTGCTGCCCCTTACAGAGCACCTGTAGATTTTTATAGAATGAGAATCACCAGGTTAGATGCTCCCTGCAGCTCTCCATGGACAACACGGTTTCAGAACCAAAGTTCTGCTCCTTGTGCTTAGCAGGAAAACCTTCTGGCCTGTTGGTCACTGCCTTTGAGGTTCCTGTAGTTGGTTTTCAGACCCCACCGTCCCCACCAGATTTCACTGGCTCATGTGCCCGGATTTCATACACTCGGCTTTCCTTCCTCTTTTGTCTGAAGTGTACTCGCCACTACTTTCAGGGCCATTGTGGCCAATTTAAAAAAAATTAGAATACAAATACAAATCAGGGTTGCCTAGCATTGTTATTGAATTTGAATAAAGTCCAACAGAGTGGGGGGATGGATTTGCAAGTATTAAGTCATATTTTACCATTTATGTAGTTTCCCCTTTCTTTTCTCGTCTCTCTGACTGAAAGTGGAATTAAAAAGAAACCTGGAAGTAGCTGCAGTTTTCAGTGATGTGGTGGACGGGGAAGGAAGCAAGGACATGTTCCAAGTTTTTTTTTTTTAAGATTTTATTGAAAGATTTTACATTTAAGTAATCTCAACACCCAATGTGGGGCTTGAACTCACAACCTCGAAATCAAGAGTCACACGCCCCGCTGACTGAGCCAGCCAGGCGCCCCCAAAATTGACTTGCTTTTTTCTGAGAGAAGCTGTGTGAATGGCGTGACCAATCATATATTTTGCAAACCAGGAGACTTTTGAGATCCACCGGAAGCAGGAATGATCACGGCAGGACAGTAGACATTACCAGGAAGAGTGGTTAGCCTATAAATGGAGAATGGCTTTAGCTTGCTACTAGACATTTTTTTTTTATTGTGGTATACGATGTAGTTAAAAATGATCATTTTAAACATTTTTAAGGGTACAGGTCAGTGACATCAAGTACATCCACACTGTTGTGCGGCCACCACCACTCATATCTCTGGAACATCTTCGTTTTTTCCACATGAAATTCTGTACCCATTAAACATGAACTCCCCATTCCGTCTTCCCACAGAGCCTGGGAACCTCTTTTCTACTTTCTGCCTCTGTGAATTGCCTGTACCTCATAGAAGGGGATTGATCTAATCCTTCTGTGCCTGGTGTATTTGGGGCTTCATCCTTGTAGCATGTACCAGAATTGCCTTGCTTTTTTTAGGCTGAATACTATTCCATTGTATGGATAGACCACATTTTCTTTATTCATTCATGTGTTGATGGACATTTGAATCGTTTCCACTTTGGGGCTAACAGCCAATGCTCATGTATTTGAGATGATAGAGGCTTAGGAGAGTGGCATTATGTCCATCTTGTACTTGAGGAAATTAAAGCTTAGGTTAAATTTTCATTTAAATCCTTGAGCAGAGATTAAAACTCATCTCTCTAAAGCCAAAACCTTTGCCTTTTTTTTTAAACATCATGCACTGTGTCTCATATCTGCCATACTGATTGAGAAGGAAGAGCCCCTACTAAAATTGCTAATATTTTACACATTTATAAAATGTGGAATACATGTTTAGGAAAATGTACAGATAATTATGAAAATGTACAGTCCCTTATTTTAAGGAGAAAAGGCACAGATCCAGTAGTGTAAAAACATTTAGAAGAGATCTGCTCTATCTGTTGCAAGGAACCCCATTCATAAGTTTTCTCATACACTTAAAATGCTTTCCTTCTGCCTTTTGACTTTTCTGAAGATGTTCAGGGTAGAGAATTTCCTGTAAGTGATTTCTCCATCGGGGAGTTGGTTTGTCCCAGTCTGTCAAGGGTAGTGTGAACCGTTCCTCTTCACGGCTCATTTCCGTCATTTCTGGTTCAAAACCTGATCGGATTTAACTGCCAATTACAGAAACGCTAACACGTAGTCATCAGACTAATTTCAAGCTCTCTTTACAGTTTTCAGTTTCCTCTTTGATGAAAAATGTGGCTATAATAATGAACACCTCTTGCTGAACTTGAAGAGAGACCGCGTAGAGAGCAGAGCTGGGTTTAATCTCCTGCTCGCCGCGGAACGCATCCAAGTGGGTTATTACACAAGCCTGGACTACATCATTGGAGATGTTGGAATTACCAAGGGGAAGCACTTCTGGGCCTTCCGTGTGGAGCCGTATTCATACCTGGTCAAAGCAGGAGTTGCTTCCAGTGATAAACTACAGGAATGGCTCCGTTCTCCCCGCGATGCCGTTAGCCCAAGGTAGGTTCTTCTACTGATCTAGAACTCGAGAGTTCTTTTACAAGTAAACATCCTTGTTGAGCAAGGCAAGCCCGGAAATCCCCTTGGGTCTACTTACCACAGATGGAGTGCGTTCCCTAGACTCTGGGGCTTTGGCTAAGGAAAGGGGTCCGGTTGTCTTGTATTCCCATGGTGACCACCCAGGCACCCCAAGAATTTCAGTTTCTTAGGAGATCGATTATTGAGGGACGCCTGGGTGGCTCAGTGGGTTAGGCATCTGCCTTCGGCTCAGGTCATGATCCCAGGGTCCTGGGATCGAGCCCTGCATCGGGCTCCCTGCTCAGCGGGGAGCCTGCTTCTCCCTCTCCCACTCCCTCTGCTTGCGTTCCCTCTCTCGCTGTGTGTCTCTCTCTGACAAATAAATAAAATCTTTAAAAAAAAAGATCGATTATTGAACTGAGATTGTATGGTTTCGTTGTTTTAGATGGCATAAGGTCTACTAGTCCACACAAATCATTTTTGACCCCATCATTGTGTGAACAGAATCCCAAATGAATAATCTGAGTTAATAGGAAAAGCTTTTTGCACAAGGGTGAGAAATTGACAAAACAATGAAAATTTGCAATTGGGACATGGTCAGTTAAACACAGTACCATAGACCTAGAATATTGATAGTATTGGTATTAATGTTTAAAAAGCTTGTAACAGAAAAAATATTAGAAGTGAGAAAACCCGATTAAAAGCGTCCATGTAATCACAAATATATAAAAAGTGAATTATGCATAGGAAGAAAATGGAAGGACCTTTGTATCAAAAATGTATATAAGCTGCTACTGTTTTATATTTGTGAGGAAAAAAAACTGTGCTTGCATACCTCATAGATCCATGTAGAAATCCCAGTCCAGAAAGAGGGTTCTTAGGACCGTGAAACATGACTTTTTCTCCTGCATTGTTTTGCAGTGCCCGTGTATTTTACTTTAGTTTGGTAATTCCTTGCATTAGAGCACATGTCTTGGTTTTATATATATATATTTTTTACATATGATTATGTGCTGTGAATATTTAATCTACGACAGTTCCCTTCAGTTTTCTTCCCCTACTTTATTATTATTTAAGATCTCTACACCCAATGTGGGGCTTGAACTCAGGAGCCTGAGACCAAGAGTCTGAGCCAGTTAGGCACCTCTTCCCCACTTCAGTTTTGATAGGCCAAAGTCCTGATTTTACAGGTTTTTATTTATTTTTCTCATCTGCATGTATATATAGATGTTTTATGATATTTCATGACACAGAATATGGGGTTGAGTCTCTGGTACCATTCTAAATGGCAGTGTGTAGTCGTCATGTTTTTAACTGATTTGTTTTAATAGAAAGTTTTTGATGTATGGTTTAATTTTAAAGTGATGTATAGCATCTTGTGACAATGTTTTGAGGCCAGCCGAAGGCCTGTGGCTGGCGACCCAGCTGAGACTCTCGTGTGTTGCGTTCTAGATACGAGCAAGACAGCGGCCATGACAGTGGAAGCGAAGATGCGTGCTTTGATTCCTCACAGCCGTTCACATTGGTCACCATAGGCATGAAGAAGTTTTTCATCCCCAAGTCCGCCACTTCCGCCAACGAACCTGAGAACAGAGTTCTCCCCATGCCCATGAGCATAGGGGTTTTCCTTGACTATGATAAAGGCAGAGTGGCTTTCTATGACATGGATCACATGAAATGCCTTTACGAGCGCCAGGTGGACTGCTCGCACACCATGTACCCAGCATTTGCATTAATGGGCAGTGGAGGAATTCAACTCGAGGAACACATCACGGCAAAGTACCTAGAATACCAAGAGCACATGTAGTTGAAGCATCTGTGACTTAAGGTGGAAAAGGGAAACAGAATAATGCCTTGGTGTTAACCTTCGTAACTAATTACATATCATCAAAGTAGTCTGTGGCCACACTTGTTTTTGTGTGTGTTTCTTCTTAAAATCGGAAAACCCAAACAGTCCTGCCTCATCCGTGTCGTGCCTCGTCCGTGTCCTGCCTCGTCCGTGTCGTCGTCCCGACTTGCACAAGCCAGGGGAGTAGAGACACTCTTCTCCTGGTTAACTCTGAAATGCTTAACTCTGTAACTGGATTGTTTTCTTTTTTTTTAACGAACAGGAAATCTAATTTATTTATGTCAGCCCTGTTGCTGATACTTATATTTCTTTTTTTGGGGGGGGGGATACAAAAGTATTTATTATGTTTCTTTTGTGTTTGGTTTTTCATTTTGTATCATGTTTGTCTTGAGATTTTTTTAGATGCCTTACGGGTGGGAATTCATACTTAGCCTTGTGTCTCGCATGTTTTTCATAGGAAAACAAAAGTATGGATAGGTAAAAAGGCCATAGAAATGGTAGTATATTTAAATGGAAAATTATGTATTTTGAGGTGTATAATGGATATTCAGAGTATATTCCCTGGAAAATGAATACTGCTTTTTGTTTTCTTTTAAGACTTCAAATTGTATTTTTAAGGATATTTTGAAGAGTTCCCTTAGCTGTCATGTTCCACACCTGCATGTGTAGTAGTTAAACATGGTTTTTTGTTTTTGTTTCTGTTTTTGTACTTTTGCAGGGAACAAAGAGTTCTTGGCTAACACACGGAACTTTTCACTTCATGTAAAATTTGTCTTCAATTTTTCTTACTCTATGATTATCTGAGCTTATAGCAAATAATTTATTTTCACAAATATTAGTGACGATTCACTGATATTTGGCATATTCTTTTGCCCTCTTATCATGTCCTATGATTTATGATTTTCATTTTTTGGCACTGATACTATATATATCAGATTGTCCTGGCTTATGTTTACATGTTTGGAAAGTTCATGATTTCTTTTTAATGTCATTAAATTATTCTAAAATATGGAGTAACTGGTCAGTTGGATGTTATTTTCTGTGGCCCATTGGTAATAAGCATTTGTAAAAGTAAGTAAAAGACAGATTTAGTTGTTAGGAATAATAACGAAAATCATAGTGACTGTGTGTACCCTTTTAAAAGTTCTTTTGATTTGCAGAATTAATGCTTTAGTTGAAATTTTTTACATTCATTTTTGAAAGATGCCTTTTACTTAGATGTTTTTTATTTAAACTGCTTATTTTTTAGAAGTTAAAATGTTCAGAAGCTAGACTGCTATACATTGTAGCACTCATGATTTTGAAAGGCTTTTGACCTATTTTGATAGACCAACCAAAATCTTAGGCCTTACCTGGTTTCCTTGTTTGTTTTTAATATATATTTTTAAGTGGAAGTCTGTTCTTCAGGCTGGTAGCATCAAATTAGCTTTTTTATGCCCAACCCAAGTAGGAGATACTGTGGTGAAATTCAGTGTTGCGTAGACTTTGTTACTTTCCCACCGATGAATAGCACTTTACGACATAGGCTGAACTAAACACATCCGCAGTGTTAACGTGGATCATTGCATGAAGGCTGCTAAAGTCACGTGTGGGTAAGGTTTGAGTCTCAAGCCTGTGTAAGCACATACCCTGTAGACATTTTAAACATAAAGCTTTAACGGGAATAGGGAAGGTGCGTAAAACCTTGTATAGTTGTATAGAAATCGTTCTCCTGGATTCCTTTCGTTTTTAATAAAAATTGAAATAAGTGTAATTATTGAACTGCATCCTGGCAATTCTCAGTGTATTTATGTGGAAAATGGAGACAAATTGTTAAAGAGATGTTCAGCTGAATATATTAACTCAGAGCTAAGGTTTTACGTAAAGTTGTTTTGGGCGTGTACTTAATAGCTCTAACTCTTATCGAAGTGATATTAGAACAGCTTAACGTGAAATTAGCTTACCTCAGCTAATTGATCAGATTGTCTCCTATTCCTTTTCTGCTCCATAATCCGATTTTGATCAGAAGACTGTTCCTTTAGTTCACATTCGTACTCTTGGGCCATCAGGCTCTAGGAGTTGTGTGTCACAATGAATTGTTACTCATGCTTGATGGGTCTTCATTTTTTAAAAAAAAAAGTCAATTCCAGGCTATCCCTGTGATACTGTATAATAACCTAATTCTCATATTCGCAGTTGCTTTCGGAAAAGTAGGAGGACTCAGAGCTATCTCCGAGGCACTGAATACACTCTGGGTCGTCATCTGATTAGACCCTGGGAGTGTGTCCCATGTGGGAATATCATCAGTCCTGGCCTTGCTACAGAAAGTGGAGAACCAAGCATTAAAGGCAAGAATCTGCATAAGAAATTCCGACCAGACAGGTGTGCATTCATTTTAGAGGATCTTTACCAGACTCTTGTTAATGGCGATTAACATCCTGAGAACTGAAGTTTTTCTTAGGACTCTCTTGCTTCAACAAATAAACCTGAAGGAATTTGGTTACGTTTTTGATTTGGAACCCAGTTCATTTATTTACAGAAAGTTTTTAACTCCCACTGTTTCTGAGACATTGAGCTGTCGTACTGGGTATGAGGTGACCAAGACCGCCCAGCCAGGTTCCTGCTCTTAGGAGCTTCCTTTTGAGGAAATGGAAAGTGCTAGAGAGTGTTTGAGGAGGGGGCTCAGACTTGGCAGCGGTCAGGGATAACTCCTCTGAGGAGGCACTAGAAGGTTGACACCTCACCGTGAAGGAGCTGGCCATACAAAGAGCCAAGGGAAGTGCATGCTGGGTAGAGAGAACAAGGAGCTCAAGAAGGCTTTGAGAGCACGAACTGGTGAGCATACTGGCAGGAAGTAGCCTTCACCCTAGAGGGTTCTGTTGAAACATTGATGAAAGGGTTACTTAGAGATATGAGCCACCTTGAAACAAGCAATGGTGAGGCCCTGGAAGGACAAGCCACCACCCGAAGCAATTGCTGCCTCTAGAGCAAGGACAGCAAGGGGAAATCGTGTTCCAGGTTGTCGGGGGGAGAGAGACATTAAGGAAGGGTTGCTTAGTGGGAGTTGGGTTCACCATGAGAGGCAGCTAACCCCTGAGTTGTGGCACCAGGACACGGAGGGAGTCAGGAATACTCTTCACTGGATCTGTTGGTGCTGCCTATTGACTAAACCCTACTGGCGGCCACCCAGCAAGGGCTCTCCAGATGCGGACAGCAGGGATCATCCTGGGGTGGAGATGGGGAAGCAGGCATCTGGTGGGGGGGTCTGGGGGGGTGGCTTAAACGGAGAACAGTTGGTGCAATTGGGAAGGAGCTTGGTGTACTTGAGGAAGAAAAGGCTATTGGCCATTGTGCGGACTGCTTAAATAAGGGTATTTATGATGTCCTGAAATAATAAAACACAAAAATGAAGACTTAGAAAACCATTACCTGGGAGATCTCTGTGCCCTTAACTGTCCCTGAGTCACTTCTCCAATTTTCTTCAGAAGCTCCACCTCCTGACTTCTGGAAGGAATGAGTGGTGCTGGTGGGCCAGGTGGGCAGGAGAGCTGGGAGGGGCCTGGGACCTGGGAGCCGGGGTTTGGGGGGGCGGTTAACTATCCCCTACACTAGCCTTCCAACAGTCTCTTGGCTCCACTTTGAGACGCTCCAGAGTCCACTTTGTCCCACCTGTGTGGTACCGCCAACGTTCTCACCTGGTCACTGTAATAGCTTCCTGTCTGGTCTCCTTCCTTTAGCCGTGTGTTATTAGTTGCATAACTAAATTCTAAGAAACCCTGAGACTCTGGACTTAACCATATGGATTTTTGGCTCTCACAAAATCTCTTGTAGCCCAGCCCTGGCTTTCCTCCGCGGTCGATGCGAGGGTCATGCTCCCTACGCTTTGCGATGCCATCTTAGCACGGGGTTTCTAATGTTGCAAGTTTACATAGTTTCTAGAAAAAGAGGCTGGTAAGTCCCCAACAGCTACAAATGCCCTAGCACATCATTTGCGTTCATGTTTCATTGGCTTGAACTAATTGCGTGGTGCTAAAACCGGCAGGCGTGGCAGTGAGAAACTTAATCTGGTTTTCTCCAAGTGCCCAGGCGGGAGACCACCAGATCCGGGCGAGCACTAATGTCTCTCTCAAGCCCTTGCACTGTCACTTTTTCTCAGTTGGAAAAGAAAAGCGTGAGCCTTTTGCAAATTCCTGCTGTTCCAGGTTGCCACACAATCCTTCACCTTGATCTTTTCTCAGCAAGAACCCTAACAACTCTTCAAATTTTTTTTTAAAGATTTTATTTATTTGATAGAGCACAAGCAGAGGGAGAGGGAGAAGCAGGCTCCCCGCTGAGCAGGGAGCCCGACGCGGGACTCGATCCCAGAACCCTGAGATCATGACCTGAGCCGAAGGCAGACGCTTAACAGACTGAGCCACCCAGCCGTCCTTAACTCCTTTAAAATTGTGTCCTTCCCCCCAACAGGCCATACCCCCCATTCCCTGTGTGAGTTGTTTTCTTGAAGCACTTAGACATTTCACTTTTGTCTGCATCCTCTAAAATATTAGCTCCACCAAGACAAGAGTTGTATCCAGTTTTTATCACTGTGGGATCCCAGCACCCCAAATCCCTCCTGCTTTCCAGCCCTAGGACCCTCTGCTGCCTTCCTCTATGTGGTCCCTGCGGGTCCTGAGCCTGCCGGGGATCTGCGTGGGTAAATCAGCTTGCAGCTCACAGGGTGCTCCCTCTGCAAGCTTTCAGATTTGACTTTTCCTCCACCAGGTCATTTGCCATTCGTCCATCTGCTCTCACGTCCGCATCGTTAATGGTTACACAGGTCTCCTGGTTGGGGTGAAGTTGGAGTTGGCTTTTCAGTTTCCTGTGTATTTTTATTTCAGGGTGATTTTCTTTTTTGTGGGGGTGGGGGATGACTTTCAAGAGGAAGAGGCAGTTAGGATGTTGCCATCTTGGAACTAGAACAAGTATTTTTGCAATGATGGATCCATAAAATTAGTATCTTTTTCAGATCTTCATTTTATAACACCTTGACTCTTAAGCAAAACAAGTTTTTGTTTTGTTTTTTTTTTTACATGATGGAG